GTCAAAACCTGGCTGTTCCAACAGGCCTGGGGCTGATGAGTTCCCATCCCCACTCGAATTGTGTGGCTGTTGACTGCTTTTAAATTGTTTCTGTATTTTGTTTGGTTTTTTTATTGCTTTTTTTGTCTGTATTATTCCCTTCCCCTTCGGTTTGTTAGCTGCCCTGAGTCCCTCCGGGAATAGGGCGGCATACAAGTGTAATAAACCTTGAACCTTCTGCCTACGATTTCCTTTTTTGATAGTGTGTTTCAGTTTGTTCTTGTTCAAGTATCATTGTACAGTTTGTCTGCCACATTTAGTTTCTTCCAGACAAATCTTTCCTCTTCAGTCTACTATTGCCACTAAGCTAGGAATTATTCTTCATCTGGATCAATTTTCCAGTCTGCAGCAACTGTTGACAATGACATCCTGGTAGGAGAATGCATAAACATAGCTGCTTCAAAACCTTGTACAATGTTTTTATTATCTTTGTTTCCCTGAGTTATATATTCCATTGGACTTTTTAAAAACAAATGTATGGTACATTGTTTTATCATTTTCCAGTCACTTGAGTGGTTTTCATCGCAACAAAAACAAACTTAGAAAAAAACCAATTGTTCCTCCCTGTATTGATTGTGGGGGGAAGGTGGGGGGGAAGAGAGAGAGAGAGAGAGGGAGGAAGGCATTTTGGAAAATTCTTTTACGCCTCTCGCCTTTCACTGGATTTCTATTAATTGTTGGGGTTAATTGTCCCAGGTGGCTTTGACTTTAGTGAGAGTTACTTCCGAGTAAACCAAAATACTAGGTGAATATTTCACACTGCAATCCTAGCATTGATTTTAGTGAGACTTACTTGTGAGTAAACCAACTGTTCCTCCCTGTATTTTTGGGGAGGGGGGGGGAGGAGAGAAGGCTTTGCGGGGGAGAGAAAGAGAGAGGGAGGAAGACATTTTGGCAAATTCTTTTACCCCTCTCTCTTTTCGCTGGATTTCTATTAATGGTCCTAAAGAATTCCTTCCTTCCACCCCCTCTAGCCGATTAGTTGGGGGCTAACTATCCTGGGGAGTGGAACACCCAGGACAAATCTTTTTTCTGCGAATGGGCTGTGCCAAACACAGTGGGATGCAGGGGCCAGTGGTGTATGGGTGGTGGAGTATGGGTAGAGGTGAGAAAGCAGAGGAGATGTCAGGGGGAAATCGGCCGAGGTGGTCCTAGACCTGTTTATGCATACCTATACACCAATGTACACATATACTCTACACTGCATATTTAGTGAAATGAAATCACAGAAAGGAAGGCAAATTTCATTTTTTTTAGCTCCCGTGGAAAGTTGTGACAACACAGCAGCAGAGAAATTATCCAGTGGTGTGTGTGGCTATAGTAGCTTGTACTATTCTTAAGATGGCTTTGAGTCCAACCAGCATTAGTACATAACAGGAAGAGCTTAAGGGCCCAATGCAGAGATACAGAATGCTTCAACTCAAAACAAAACTGAATTGTGAATTGTACAACACTTAATAGAATACATACAGTAAAAACAGCACAATATCTTATCTATGGTAGGCTTTTCAAAATATAAGGATTACTATGTAAGTTAACAGCAGCAACAACAACTGAAATCACATTACTTACTGGAAAGAAAGTGCTGAGAAGTGGGGCCAAAATCTCTGTGGGCCTCATGCAGCTGCCTGATACGCTCATCAATGGACAACTGGATGGAGAGGAGATTAAGTGTAACAATCAGAAAAAATAATCATTACTTTCATAGACCTGTACAATTATTATTGCTACAATTTACAAACAGTTCGATCAAAACTTTCATCTGTAGAAGAAAATAATTGATTAAAATGTGAATGAAGCTTTATTTACAAGAATTCTAGTTATATGCATGATACAGAATGAAATTCATCATGATTTCAATCATTGGATGGAGCATTCTATTTTTATATTGTAAATAATTTATATAAATTACAAATAAGCAGCATAAACAGATATTGTTTCTTTCATTTATATATAGTTCACATTTAATCTGCATAATGCTGAAGTCTATCAAACCAGATACAATTTCTTTTCTTGTAATGATAATATTTTTAAAGATTTTTTTAGCTGGAACTATCAAGAAAAAGACCTGTATCTGGTTTGATAGACTTCAACAATATGCAGATAAAATGTGAACCATATATACAGTAGATGAAAGAAACAATATCTGTTTAAGCTGCTTATTTATAATAAATGTACATAAATTTTTTATAACATAAAAATAGAATGCTCCTCATGAAATCATGATGAATTTTCATTCTGCATTATTCATATAGCTAGAATTCTTGTAAATGTGGGATTCAGGATTTTAATCAAATATTTTGAATAATATGCATATTAATCTATTATGGATTTTTATTTGAAAATTTTGCTTATTTTGGGGAGTATATTGTTTATATTCCACCACTAGCTGTATTTGTATGGGTAGTTTCTAGTTTAGTTTGTACACAGCCCACTCCTGGTCATTTAGTACAAATATCATTCAGTTTAGGTAGCAAAAAATATGGCTTGATGATTATTCATAAAATAACAGAAAGAAAGAAAGAGTTAACTAGTGAAATATGACAAAAACTAAACAAAGAGTAGGGAGACAGATATATGAAAAAATGTACTGTAAGAGATAAAAAGAAAAATATCATAATAATAACAGAATATCAGAGTTGGAAGGGATTTTGTAGGTAATCTAGTCCAACCGGGAGACTCTATCCCATTTCTTATTAAGTATATTTTATTCAATTTTCACATTCCATTTGCAATCATTTATATACAGGGTATTCACTATAAGAAAAGAAAAGAAAAAAAAGAAAAAAAAAAAAGGAAAAAGGGAATAAAACGAACAGATAAAAAGGAAACACAACTCATCATTCACAACCCCACCTAACCCTTCCATC